AGGGTGACAGCTCTACCCCAGAAACATCAGGGGAAGTCTAACACCCTGTTGATATCTACTGATAGGGAAACATTTCTGGTAAACAGGCTTTTCCCCTGCTTGAGCTGCCAAAAGTACAATAAATCCACACTGATTTCTGGGCCTCATGCTGCCTTCCTTTCCCTCTAGAGCCTCCAGTTATCAGATCTTCACTTTTCCTGATTATAATGTGATGAAAACAAGCAATACCTGGGTCGGCTGCTCTCAGGGAATGCCCCAGAAGCCACTCCAGGCTGTCAGCACATCAACACTTAGGGATGCAGCAGTGGCCATGTCCGTGTTCCGTGGGCATTCACGAAGTCCAAGCCAGCTGGTGCAAATGTTACTCAGAGAATTCATTCCCTGGTGCAGCCATTGCTCCTCTCAGGTACAGAGTGAAAAGCTTTGGATGACAAAGGGTATCAGGAACTCCTCCAGAAAGATCACCTGTTGGGAAAGGAAATATTTGTAGCTCAATAAACTGATTTTGAAAAGCCCAAATGTTACCCAAAAAAGCACCTTCAGAAGCATTTTGTTGGTGCTTGTGGCTGCTGCCAAAGACAAAGAACACCTGGGAAAAGGCAGGCATACAAGTAGCAGGGGAAAGAGCCAAGTTATCCCAATGGCCAGCCAGGTCCAAAAGGGCTTTTGCTGGCCCACTCCTCAGCATAGCAAACATTGGGCAGGTGAGCTCACAATCACCAACCACAGGTTCCACATCTCTGCCACTGTTGTGACACAGGGCAGCGCACATTGCTGGCCCTGTGGCCACCACATCCTGGCAGCTGGAAGTCACTGACCACCTGGGGGCTGATGCTGAAGGGCTGTTCATGGGCCAGCAGAGCTCCTGCTGCTGCCAGAGCAGTCAGAGCCTGTGATTGAGCTTTGGAATGAAACCTTCAAGCAGTAACAGATGGCTTTGGGCCTTCCAAAGGAAGGCTTGGGTCTTAAACCTTGTGTCTGCCAGCTCTCCACTCTCCAACCGCCCTGGACTGTGGGTCAGTGGCAGTGAGGTGTGTCCTTGCTGTCCCCAGCCCTGGATGGACACAGCCAGCAAAGGCTGCAGTGCTGAGTCTTGGCCCCTCCACGCTGCCGTGGTGGGTCCTGGCCACTCTCCTGTGGGAGCTGTGGCTGCCCTGAATCTCCTGGGCTGATGCTGGACATCAGGAAGGTGGGATCCATCCTGTTCCAGAAGTCTTGGTTAGCCCCTCACTGGCTACAGCTGTGACAGCCAGTCCTGGTTCTGGCCAGGACAGGGATCATTTTAATTGCAGCTGGGAGCATGCATGGCCAGGACCCAGAGGTTATCCTATACCACTTCTCATCATTGCTGGGGCAGAGGTGAAGGGAATCTCTTCCCGGGACAAGGGGCTCCTTCTGGTCGAGAAGAAGTGTTGGGGTGGCTGGTATTGATTATTGTGACAGGCTTTCCATGCAAATCCTTCTTTTCTCACACCTTTTGCTATTAATAGTGTTGCTATTACTGTTAGTTTTCTTATCTCGTTGTTGTTTCCAGTAAATTATTCTTTTCTCAACCTATGATCTTTGCCTTTTGTGCCTCCAGCTGGAGGTAGAGAAGGAAGGGAAGTGGCATGTGGTTTTAGCAGAAATACTAAATTGGAGAACACTAAACCATGACACAGCTGTGCTGCAGAACATTAAAACCTGCAGCTCTGTGTCTCAAGGCTCCCAGCTGGGAGATAGAAATACATCAGCTCCCAGCTGAGGTAGAAATACATCAGTTTGCCCAAAAAAGCTGTTGAGGTGGAGCCACAGAGCTGGACAGATGGGGCTGCGTTAGTGGGTAGATTTCCCAGTAATTTTCCCTGGCCTTTTCCTAGGCACAAAGACAAAACAAATCCCAGAGCTCCAGACCCCAGGGGCACAAGGCCCCTGTGCTATTTGGTTCTTCCAGGCTACTAAAGTTGAGAACAACTCTTTGAGATGCATTTCATTGACAAATCTCAGCTGGCACCAAGGGGGAGACCCCAAAAAAAGAGCTTGACGTTGGGGGGTAAATTGCATCACCACTTGTCCTCCTAATTAGTGCTTTTTACCAATTTTTACCAATTTCTGTGACAACACCATAAATAACTTCTGTGGAGCAGGGAGGGAGCTGTTCTGGAGGGGTCTACGACTCTTGGTTCACAAGGAAGTGCATCCCTGTGGGCATCACCTCAGTGTGGCCTCAATTCTGTTTGACCAAAAAGAAATACTTCAAAAGCCAGTGAAATCAGCAACAGAGAATTTGTGCTGGGTTTCTCAATATCTCAGCAGTGCCAGCAGCTTGTGCTGAGTGTGAGCTCTGGCAGCAGAGGATGGGTGCCTGCAGTGCCAGCTGCCAGGCTGGCCATCAGCTGGGTGAGGACAACGGAGGGAATGACCTCTCCAGGAGCAGATGCCAGTGGGATTGGGATGGGCTGATGAGCAAAAGGAGGTTTAATTGTTCGTATTTCTTCCCCAGCCTTTCTTCTCCTACCCATGTCCCCATCCCACTTCTGGTGCCCACAGAGAGGAGAGCAAAGCTGAAGGGGGGCTGGCAGAGCCCTAAATTAAAGGATGGGCTATGCCTTTATTTCAGTCCAAAGTTTACAGCCATAGGCTTCTCTAAGAAATCCCCATTTCCACCCCCACCACCCCAAGGGCTTCAACAGAGCCCAGGGAGGGACCTGCTCCCTGCCCAAGGGGGTTGAGAGCAGGCATGAAGGCCAAGGGCTGGGGAGGAAAGTGGAGGTAAGCACCAGGCAGGGTGTGGAGGGAGATCTCTGTCCCCAGAGATGCCCAGGGGCTGGGAAAGGTGAGAGTTCCCATGTCCAGGGCCGGGCTGGGGACATCCTCCCTGCTCCAGGGCAGAGGCTCAGCAGAACCCAGCAGTGCTGGAGTGAAACAAGGAGGCAAAAGAGGGTTTTTTTTCTCCATTTCTTTTTCCTTTTCTGTAATTTGTCAACAGCCTTTGCATGAAAAAGGTAAAGCTGCACAAGTAACTCCACAGTTCTTCAACATCATTCCCAAAACAGCAAACTGGAACAAAGCAACAAGAAAAAGAAACATCATCAATATAAACATCTACACTGACACCCCCTTCGCTTTTCTTCCCCTTCCATTTTCCCCCCTTGCCTTTTCCCTCCTCCCCTTCCCACTCCCTTCCTCACCCCCATTTCCCTTTTGTTCCACCCATTCCCTTTTCTCTCTCTCTCTTTTTTTTTTTTTTTTTTTCCTGCCTTTCCCTTCCTGTGTTCAGAACTGTGGGATATCCCAAATCTACCTGGGGTCACCTCAGACAGGTTGGGATGGGCCCAAATCCTTCAAATCAACAGCATCAAAGACTGCAAATAAATTTGGGGACAAGAATCAGACCAAGATTTGTTCAAAACACCCCAGCAGGCTCAAAACTTTGGAATATTTATTGCAATTAATTAATTAAACAACACTGTAATGCTTTATATGTACAGATATGGATTTAATGGTGGTAATTAACCGGCTGCACTAAGATGGTTTCTCCAAGGATGTTTCCCTGTGGATCCCAATGTGTTTCCCACATGCTCCAGTGACCAGGTTTTACTTTAGCAAGGTGTGAAGTGCCATGGAAGGCCAGTTGTGACAATAAATCCTGGATTTTGGCATCATTTTTACCTGAGCCCTTTGCTGAATCCCATTGTTTCCTCATCTCACAACCAAATACTCCAAAATATCCCCCTTGGACAGGGCTCCAGGGTGGAAATCATCTTATGAATGTGGTTTGGACATGGAAGCCAGTTGGAAGAGCTTCATTTGACTTTTATTTCATTTTTTTCAAGTTATTTTATACCCCAAAATATCCCAACTCACAGGTTTTCAGCTTCATGACACTCCTCATAGAACAACATGAGGATTAAAATGTTTCAGAAACATAAAGTCCTCTGCAGAGGCCCAGGACAATCCACATTTTTGTAAAAAAAGCAATTTCATCTGGATCTTATGAAGCAAAATCATAAAATGCCCACTTTTTCATCACCTTGTCTCACACCATGAAGTTAAAACCATTTTTCCTCCACTTCCCACCTCAGAAAGAGTTTTAACTCTCCCAATAATTTAGCCTTCAAACTTTTGTCACCCTGTAAAGCGTGTCTTTAGGTGCAAAAGTTAATTAAAGCTACTGAATTCTGAATGCTGGAGGTGGAGGGAGAGTGCAGGGAAGCTGCAAGATGAGGGACCCTCACTGTGGCTCCAGGGAGGAGCTGTTTTCACTGAACCTTCTCAGGAAAATTCATCCACAAACATCACAGGGTTTTTGTCCAAAAAGGAGACAGAGGAGTCCTTTTACTTTATACAAATAAAGGGAGCGGCCATGGGGCATTCTCGTGGGTTCTCTCAAATTTTTGGAGGACTCAGCGTCCTTTTTATCCCAATTTCCTTCTCTCTTTCCCCATTGGCTGAGGTACTTGAGGGCTTCAGACTTCCCAATATGCCTGATACCAAAGATTTCCCTCTAATGTATAACCCTCCCTTTTAATTTTTAATTCTTATGGAATTTCGGGTTTTTCCTCATTGTTTCTTTCATCTTTCAGTATCCAGTTGCGTTTATCAGCCAACTTACGGTTTGTTTGTAAAGGCAAATATCTTTTCCCATTTATCAATCAGTGGAATCCTTCCCATTGTTTCTTTTATCTCTCAGTGCTGGTTTTATCTACCAGCAGACCCACAGCTTGCTTGTAAAGAAAAATCTGTCATTGCTCTCAACCTGATCCAAAATGTTCTTTGAGTTAGGAAGGGTTGAGAAGGGGCCATTTGAGGCAGCATTTGATCACTCTGTGGGGTGTTATTGTTGTCTTTTGTTGTTTTTTTTGGTTTTGTTCTGCCGGGAAAACACAACAAATCTCTTATTCTTCTACTTCTGATTGAATCTGAAGCTGTTTTATTGGTGATTCCCCTGCTGACAGCTGGGGCACGTTGGCATCACCCCTGCTCCTCTCCCATGGCAACGGAACACGGCCCCCAAATGTGACAGCGTGGCCACAAGGGAATGTTGGCCCCAGCCCTGGGATGGTTGCCAACAACAGAACGTGGCCCTCGGACCTGCCAACGCAGCCCTATGACATAACCAGGTGGCCCTTGGAAATAACCACGTGCCAGCGAGGGAATTTTGTCCTCAGCCATGGCCAGGTGCCACCCATGGAGCTTCCACTTTCCCCTGAACCCCCCAGATCAAAGTAAGCATTTTGATTTAGGGAATACCAGGTATTTCTATTTACAGGGAGAACTCTGACCTCTGCAAGGGCTTATTTAATGGTTATCTTCAAGGTTATTTTCAGGCTCTGGTGTTCACTCCTGCATCTTAATTAGTGAGAACGGCACTCCGTTGGAATTAGTGAAAATAATATGCAATATTTTGGGTCTAATTTAAGGGTATTCCGCCCTCATGCTGCCCAGTGTGATTCCTGAGCCCCCATGGAGCACCCCCAAGGTCCGGGGCTGCCATCCCTCATGGCTTTAATTCACTCAGCCCCTCTCACAGAGATCAAGGTAGCTGCAAAACACCTTAATGCACATATCCCCCCTCCCCACTGGGCATGACAAGGGGGGAAATCTTCATAAATATCATTTTGGGGGATGACAGTGGAAGATATTTTTATCTGTAGACTTTATTGTTGTAATGGATATTTACTTTCTTGTTTTCCTTGGTTTTTATTAGCAGTTTCATATTGCTGCACCTCCAAATCCAGCTCAGATCTGAGGAAAAGAGGGAAAATCCCAAACCCAGGGTTTCTCAGATCTGCTCTTCAAAAGGGGTTTAGGAGGAAGTGGCCTGGTGTTGACTCCAGGTTATCATCAGAAAATCCTCAAATCCTTGCAAATCCATTTTACCACAGTGGAATTTTAGGGGTAAAGGTGCATAAATTAGTGATGTTAAAGGTGCATAAATTAGTGATGTTAAAGGTGAGTTCTTGACAAGCTTTGCCAGCATCTGACTCCAGGTGCTCCAGGTGTTTAGGATCCCCAGGACCATCCCATGCCAGGCACTGCCAGCAGGGCACCAGTGCCCCTTGGTGAGCTAAAAATGAGCCAAAAACCTGCTGGTGTGGTCTTCAGAGTGAAATGTGAGCTCCTGTTGCAAGAACTCAGAGTGAAATCCAGCTGGTTGACAATGAGGAATCACTCTGGAACTTCTCCAGGTTCCTGGTTGTGGGTTGATGCCCTTGGGAGTAGTGGAGCCTCCTCTTGAGGTTTCTGCTGCTCTGGTAACCAGCATCATCATCATTATCATCATCATCATCATCATCAGCCCCCTGCTCTCCTGACACACCATCCTCTCTCTGTTCTTTACAGTTGACAGAAGTTCCAACGACAGCTGGGGCGTGCCAGATGTATTTTAGTAAGTCCCACAAGTTTGGGGTGGGAAAGGGGATTCCACCACCCTTGATCTCCATCAGGGCTTCTCTGGTGCGGGCCTGGGTGTCCCAGAGCCAAAACCCCCCTGAGGTTTTCAGGGTTTTTTTTTTTTTTCAGTCCTCCAAAAGGGTTGAAAAGCCCTGAAATGGGTGGAAAACATCCTCCAAAGGTCTGGGAACACCCCAATAGTACAGAGAATGATGATGGAATGGGAATATACCCCACTTTTCACTTATTTTACCAAGAGCTGTGGCATTTAGGGCTCTGTTTGCTGCCCAAACAATATTTTGCCATTATTGTTCATTTCTTGTTCTAACCATGAAACTGTCAATAACTGTTGATTGGTACCATTATGGGGGAAAGGAGAAAAAGGGGTGTGAGTGATACAGGAGGCAAAAACTGGCCTCTGAGGATGCACATGATCATTTAAATTGGTCATAAAACATAATTCTTGGACCATAAATGTGTGTCCATCATTAGTTATAGCATTTATTACCATTACTTCATTCATTAGGTGTTGGCACTGCCTCCTTAAACCTTTTTCTGGTTTTTGCAGTGATCCTCAGGCCTTGAAAGATTTTTTGCCTGGATCCAGAAAGGTGAGTGACAACTCAGCTCCCTCCTCAAACCCACACAACTTATGTAACATAAACATTTTCTTCAAAGAAAAACTGGATTTTTACATCAAACCTATACAAAGGTCATGATTATTTTAGGTCTGAAATCCTGCTGCTGCTCATGAGGTACAGCCAGCAGGGATTTTGGGGTGTTTTTAGCCAAAACTAGGAACAGGCAGAGCTACTGCCCAGCTGCTGGGAGAGCTGGATGTTTTCTGGGGCTTCCCCTCACTGCTGCATCTTCTTTTTATTCCCCCATTTTTTTAAATTCTGCACCAAATAAATGTTTGTAATTCCAGACTGACTGTGCTGCTCTCTCAGTATAGAGGATGCAGCTGATGCCTTAGGATTTTAGCTTTTATATTTTTCATCTATTTGTCATCTTGCAGTTCTTTAGAGTATAACTCTAAACCCCATATCCACTGTGAGCTGCTGCTTCCCCATTTGGGGCAGACACAACAATTCCTCTCCAGGCCTGGCAATCAAGGACACCTCACTGCCTCAGGCCAGAGATGGAAACAAAAGTGAGTTGGGGGGAGCAAACTTGGGGTAAATGACTTCATTAGCTGAAGCTGTAATTGGCAGATTAACTCCCAATATGCAAATAGACCAAACTTATAAAAGTGTGAAAGCCTGTGAGTCCATTTTTGGGTGAAGCCCCTGGGCTTTGTCTGCCCTAAATGTACCTGAAGGCCTTTCAATAAATAGAACTGCTTTTTATTCCCTTAATTTTTTCAGGCCTCGGTTTTTAGGTAGCCACGAAAGGCATCACACCCAGTGCCTTTTTTTGAAGGTGGTGGGGTAGGCCTTTTCTTAATTACTCCTTGGAGAGCCTTCCACTCCCATTTAAAGGGAACGAAATTCCCTTGGTTTGTTTGTCGTCAAACTTTGTCTTCAATTCCCTTGGTGTGTTTTTCCTCAATTTTTGTCCTCAGTTCCCTCGGTGTGTTTTCCTCAATGTTCCTCCTCAATTCCCTTCGTGTGTTTTCCTCCATTTTTCTCCTCAGTTCCCTTGGTGTTTTCTTCACTGTTCCTCCTCAGTTCCTCACTGTGTTTTCCACCATTTTTCTCAGTTCCTCAGTGTGTTTTTCCTCAATGTTCCTCCTCAATTCCCTCAGTGTGTTTCTCCTCCATTTTTCTCCTCAGTTCCCTCGGTGTGGTTTCCTCAATGTTCCTCCTCAGTTCCTCACTGTGTTTTCCACCATCTTTCTCAGTTCCTCGGTGTGTTTTTCCTCAATGTTCCTCCTCAATTCCCTCGGTGTGTTTTTCTCCATTTTTCTCTTCAATTCCCTCGGTGTGGTTTCCTCAATGTTCCTCCTCAGTTCCTCAGTGTGTTTTCCACCATTTTTCTCAGTTCCTCGGTGTATTTTTCCTCTATTTGTCTCCTCAGTTTCCTCAGTGTGTTTCTCCTCCATTTTTCTCCTCAGTTTCCTCTGTGTGTTTCTCCTCCATTTTTCTCCTCAGTTTCCTCGGTGTGTTTTCCTCAATGTTCCTCCTCAGTTCGCTTGGTGTTTTCCTCAATGTTCCTCCTCAATTCCCTTCGTGTGTTTTTCTCCATTTTTCTCCTCAGTTCCCTTGGTGTTTTCTTCAATGTTCCTCCTCAATTCCCTCAGCGTGTTTTCATCAATGTTCCTCCTCAGTTCCTCACTGTGTTTTCCACCATTTTTCTCAGTTCCTCGGTGTGTTTTTCCTCAATGTTCCTCTTCAATTCCCTTGGTGTGTTTTTCTCCATTTTTCTCCTCAATTCCCTCGGTGCTTTTCTCAATGTTCCTCCTCAGTTCCTTGGTGTGTTTCCCTCCATTTTTCTCAGTTCCCCTGTTGTTTCCCATCCCTTTCCCAGGTGCTGGAGCCCTCCCCGCGCTCGGAGCTGGCCGTGCCGGTGGTTCCAGTGCCGGTGCCGGAGGCAGCGGGCCCGGGCTGCCCGCAGGGCGGCAGGGTGGCGGCGGGCCATGCCCAGGACCTGCTGCAGCAGTGCCTGTGTGCCGCGGGCATCACCGAGCAGCTGCTGGAGGCCGAGGCCAAGCAGGACACAGGCGGCTTCCAGCCCTCTGCGCCTTCCCGCAGCGCCCTGCCGATCAACCAGCCGGGCCCGGGCCGGCAGCCGCTCCTGCTGCCCTTCCTGCAGCACCCCGGGCCCTTCTCCAGCTGGCAGCTGGGCCAGGGGCCTGCTCAGCCCGGGGGACAGCAGGTGATGGCCACTGCCCTGCCAGCGCCGCAGGTCGCGCTCCTGCAGCAGGTGAGTGCAGCCCCTCAGCGTGGCGCCCCACGTGGGGCCTCTTCCGTCCCCTCCAGGGCCACTTCCATCCCCTCCAGGGACACTTCCACCCTCTCTGGGGTCACTTCCACCACCTGTGGGGCCACTTCCATCTCCTCCAGGGCCTCTTCCATCTCCTCCAGGGCCTCTTCCATCCCCTGCGGAGCCACTTCCATCCCCTCCAGAGTCACATCCACCCTCCCCAGGGCCACTTCCATCCCCTTCAAGGCCACTTCCATCCTCTCCAGGGCCACTTCCATCCCCTCCAGGGACACTTCCACCCTCTCCGGGGTCACTTCCATCACCTGCGGGGCCACTTCCATCTCCTCCAGGGCTTCTTCCATCCTCTCCAGGGCCTCTTCCATCCCCTACGGAGCCACTTCCATCCTCTCCAAAGCCACTTCCACCCTCTCCAAGGTCAGTTCCATCCTCTCCAGGGTCACTTCTGTCTTCTCCCAACATGTTTTTGAAGTTCTGTGGTTTGAAGTTCTGGTTTTCAGGGGTTTCTTTCAAGTTCTTTTAGTCTCATTTCTGTTTCTTTAAATTCCTCTGGATTTTAATTTTTAAAAAAAATTAAATTAACCCTTAATTTTGCTAATTCTTTTAATTCTGTATCTTTTATTCTCATTCCTTTTAGTCCTACCTTTTTAGTCTTATTTCTTTAGCTCTTTCTTCTGGGAAGGGGAAGAAGAACAGAAACAAAGATCCCAGTACCTGAGATTTTCTTTGCCTCAATCACCTCCTTCCTTAGCCCCTGTTTGTAGGTTTGGGGCACACACCTCCATTTCTGGGGTTCAGACTCCAAGAGGGGCAGCTCTGCAGCACCTTCTTCAAAATCCTGGAGTCCTTAAGTTTGGAAAACCCTCAAAGATGCCCAAATCTGACCCTTCTTGTCCTTCCTCATATCCTCTAGTGGCAGGGCCAGGGAACCCTTTCCTCCTCACTCATCCACACCAACCTCAAGCAGTTTTGTGGGTTAAAAACCAGCAGATTTAGGGTGTGTTTTCATTTTTTTTATTATTTTTCATCCTCTCCAGGTGCCGCAGGGGATCATCCTGCAGGTGAAGCAGCAAGGCCCCACCACCCTCGCCTTGCTCCCCAGTCCAGCCTCCTGTGTCCTGGGGAGTGGCCAGGGGCTGAGGCCACCAGCCCACAGACCCACTGGCCACCCCCATTCTGTCACACTGTCACCCTGTGGCCACCAGCACCCTGGAGCAGCAGCGCCCCAGCACAGCAGCATCCCCACACCCAACGCTGTGGGAATTGAGCAAAATTTCTGGTGCCTGGAGCCAAAATGGGAGAAATTGTACTCTTTTGTTCCTTATTTTTAATAAAACTCTTGATGGAACTTGCCGTAAGAATCCACAGTGAGATTATTTACTGTTAAGGCTTGAGTTTAAACACATCCTTGAGTTAAAACACATCCAAAACTTGTTTCATGTTTGCAAAGTATCATCACCCTGGTCCCTGAGGAGAGGAATCCAGCATTTCTGTCCCCATTTCTGTTGGGAAGTCAGGAGGTCCTCGTGGCATCCATCAGCCCCTTCAGGAGAGGAGCTGGCTTTCCTGGCAGTGTTCTTTGCTTCTGAGTTTTTCCACTTTGTTCCCAAGGTTTTCTACTTTCTTTTCCCTACAATGTTTTTTGCCCAATTCTCTCCTCCTTAGCAGTTTTGTCCTTCATTTTCCATTTTTTTCCTCTCTAATTCCCATTTCCCCCTTTATTTGCAAATTTTACACCTTTTTTCCCAGCTTTACCCCTTATTTTCTAGTGTTCTACTTTCTTAGCTTTCCCTTTTTTATTTCCAATTCCTCCACTTAATTTCCAAGATTTTCCACTTTTTATCTCCAAGGTTCCTTTTATTTCTGGGTTTTTTTTTTTTTTTCTCTTTCAAGTTTCCACCCTTCATTTCCATATTTCTCCACTTTGTCTCTTAGGTTTTCTGCCCCCTTTCCAAGATTTTCCCCTTCATTTCTCAGTTTTTCCCTTGATTTTCAGATTTTTTTTTTCACATGAAAGCCTAGGAGAAACGCTGGGACTTCTCTTTGCACAGTCAGTGGGTGACAGAGCAGAGGAGGAGGAATTTGAAAAGAGAGACAGAGTACAGGATAAAGATGGTGAAAGAAATCCCCTCGTGACATGCTGCAGGGTCCAGAAGCAACATCTGGATCAACAATGACAAACCAGACAGAGAGAAACAGCAGAAATACCAAAGGGCCACAGGACACACGGGGGGAAAAGCAAAAATGGTACCTGAAAGCTGGAGAGAAAAACACGGTAAATGAGAAAACAGCCACGGGCAGAGCGAGGGAGGACCGAAAAGATGGGGACAAGGAGCGAAATGGGAAAAGCAGGTACAGGGGAGAAAACAGAAAATGCGGCGGGGTGGGAAAGGGGAGGGAAACCGGGCTCGGTTTCGGTGCTCCCGGGAGCTTTAACGAGCCCGGGCGCTCCGTTCTCCCAGCGCCCGGCGGTCCCGGTGCCCCGAGCACACGCTCGGGCGGCGGACAAAGCTCCGGGGCACCGAGCCAGCGCGGCCAGGACAGCTCAAGGATGCTCTGGCCACATGGGGAAGGGCTCGCCGCCAGCCCCGGGCAGTGTCCGCCTCCCCCAGCCCCGCCGGTGCCGCGGAGGTTGGGCTGCGGCCGCCAGGCTGGTCCCGGTGCTCCGCCAGGCCGTTCTGGGGGCTTAGCCAGACCGTTCCCGGGGCTCGGTCACGGCGCTCCCGTGTCCCCGCTGTGTCCCCCTGTATCTCCCCTATATCCACTCGTGTCCCCGCTCTCCCGGGGCTCTCCCGGGGCTCTCCCGGGGCTCTCCCGTAGCTCTCCCGTGGCTCTCCCGGGGCTCTCCCGGGGCTCGGCCAGGCGCTCCCGGGGCTCGGTCACGACGCTCCCGGGGCTCGGCCGCTGCTGCCGGTGCTCGGTTACACCGTTCCCCCTGCTCGGCCAGGCCGTTCCCGGGGCTCGGTTACGCCGTTCCCGTGTCCCCGCTGTGTCCCCCTATATCCCCCCTATATCCACCCGTGTCCCCGCTCTCCCGTGGCTCTCCCGGGGCTCTCCCGAGGCTCTCCCGTGGCTCTGCCGAGGCCCTCCCGGGGCTCTCCCGTGGCTCTCCCGTGGCTCTCCCGGTGCTCTCCCGGGGCTCTCCCGTGACTCTCCCGGGGCTCTCCCGGGGCTCTCCCGGGGCTCTCCCGAGGCTCTCCCGAGGCTCTCCCGTGGCTCTCCCGTGGCTCTCCCGGGGCTCTCCCGGGGCAGTTCCCGGGGCTCTCCCGGGGCTCTCCCGGGGCTCGGTCACGGCGCTCCCGGGGCTCAGTCATGGCGCTCCCGGGGCCGCTGCTGCCGGTGCTCGGTTACACTGTTCCCCCTGCTCAGCCACGCCGTTCCCGGATCTCGGCCAGGCGTTCCCGGGGCTCGGCCAGACCGCTCCCGGGGCTCTCCCGTTACGCCGTTCCCGGGGCTCGGCCGCTGCTGCCGGTGCCACCGGCGGGAGCGCCGCGGGGGCGCCGAGCTGCAGTTCCGCAGTTTGGCCGCTCGGTGGCAGCCGCGAGCGTGGGAACTGCCCGGAGCCCCGGGAGAGCCCCGGGAGGGAACCGGGAGAGAACCGGGAGAGAACCGGGAGAGCCTCGGGAGAGACACGGGAGAGCCACGGGAGAGCCCCGGGAGAGACCCGGGAGAGAACCGGGAGAGCCACGGGAGAGCACCGGGAGAGCACCGGGAGAGCCACGGGAGAGAACCGGGAGAGAACCGGGAGAGCCACGGGAGAGCCCCGGGAGAGCCCCGGGAGAGCCACGGGAGAGAACCGGGAGAGCCACGGGAGAGCCACGGGAGAGCGGGGACACGGGTGGATATAGGGGGGATACAGGGGGACACAGCGGGGACACGCGGAGACATGGGGGGGACACGGGGGGGACACAGCGGGGACACGGGGGGACACGAGGGGACACAGCGGGGACACGGGGGGACGGGGGGGGATATAAGGGGGATACAGGGGACACGGGAGGCCACACACAGGGGGATACGGGGTGACATGGGGGTATACAGGGGGACACACACGGGGGGATACGGGGGGACACACGGGGACACGGGGGGATATAGGAGGACACACACAGGGGGACACAGCAGGGAGACTGTCCCTGGCCACGGTCCCCAGCTGGCTGGGGCCACCCAGCCCCCTTGGCACCTCCTCATGGCTGTATCCAGCCTGTCTCGGAGCTGATCCTTTGTGCCCTTCCCGCTGTGCAGGAGTGTTGGATTATGGCCTTTGCTGACCCAGAGATGGGGCTGCTGAGAGGTGTTTTAAAAACTTCTATTTTCAGTCTCATGTGAAGGGTGAGAATACAGATGTTATAATTCACACCATCACAATCATCACAATGAGCCACCTCCCCTTTAGTTTTAACCACTCCACTTTCACCAATAAGGAGAGATGAATGTGAGAAGGAAGAAGTGAAAAAGTAACAGAACAGGGGTGTATGGTGCTGGGTGGTTAGTCCCACAGAGCAGCGAGTTAAACAGTTGGTGCTTTATTATTCTTCTGACATGAGTTCCACACTGGGGATCTCCTCTCCTCTCCTCTCCTCTCCTCTCCTCTCCTCTCCTCTCCTCTCCTCTCCTCTCCTCTCCTCTCCTCTCCTCTCCTCTCCTCTCCTCTCCTCTCCTCTCCTCTCCTCTCCTCTCCTCTCCTCTCCTCTCCTCTCCTCTCCTCTCCTCTCCTCTCCTCTCCTCTCCTCTCCTCTCCTCTCCTCTCCTCTCCTCTCCTCTCCTCTCCTCTCCTCTCCTCTCCTCTCCTCTCCTCTCCTCTCCTCTCCTCTCCTCTCCTCTCCTCTCCTCTCCTCTCCTCTCCTCTCCTCTCCTCTCCTCTCCTCTCCTCTCCTCTCCTCTCCTCTCCTCTCCTCTCCTCTCCTCTCCTCTCCTCTCCTCTCCTCTCCTCTCCTCTCCTCTCCTCTCCTCTCCTCTCCTCTCCCCATTGTTTTTTCTCTCCTCCTTCTGTACCAGATGACACCATTTTCCATCCTCCCAATCATCAGGTACCCAAAAATTCACCCTCCTGCTTTGGCCCTTGCTGTGTTGGGTCAGGAATGTGAATATTTCATTCCTGTAAACGCTGGGCAGTGCTGTTCTTTGTTTGGACAAGAGTTTTCTCTGGCCCCCTGAGCAGGATATTGTCATTATTTTGGCAGTTTGTTGGTTTGGTGGGAGAAGGATTGATCCTGCCTCTTTGGCTAACATCACATTGACCACCCAAGGGACGTGGGTGTGGAGGACAGGAGTGAGGGAGTGACAGAGGGCAGGGTTAGGTGGGATTTTGGGAACACATCCACCCCGTGAGGGTGGGAAGCTCTGGTATCTGTGTCCCACAGAAGCTTCTCCATCCCCTGAGGTGTTCAGCTCCAGGTCTGACAGAGCTTGGAGCAGCTTGGTCCAAGCCCTGAGAACAAAAGGAGCTTGAGGGTCCTTGTCCTTCCCAGGCCAAACCATTCTGGGATTCCAGGATTTCTCCGGCACTGAGCCAAAGCACACGGTGCTCCAGCCAGGACTTGGCAAAATTTCATTACATTTTTAACAACAACCGTTCCACAGACTCTTTTGAGGTTTTTTTCCTTAATATGAACAACTTGAAGCCATGTGCCAGAGAAGAAACCTTTCTCCTGCCCTGCATGGAAAACCAGCACAGAGAGGGAGCAGGCAGCTGCAGGCAGCAGAGCCTATCAGTATCTGGGAAACTGAGCTTAAGCTCAGATATTCCACTTGGCTGTGAACTAAACCCAGATTTCAAAAAGAGAAAAAACCACAGCATACAGAACAACATTCATCGAAAGCCATTTTTAAAATTTCTAATAAATTTTAAAATTAAAAGCTGAAAGAATATTATAAAAAGCTGCTCATTTCTTGTGATTACTATTATCTTTTTTGAAAGGAAAAATACATTTTTTATTTTGTAATTCCCTTCATTTTTATGTCATAATTTTAATTGTTTTATTTTAGAAAAGGAAAAAAAAAACCAATCTTCGTCTATATTGCCGTACATGCCATGTTTTTTTTATATTTCCCATCTGTAAATTTCTATTGTCATTTCCATGGCTTCAATGATGTTTTTTCCCTTTCTCCCTCAGTGTCACGGACAGGCGCAGACCCGCGTGTATAAATATAAATATAAATATAAATATAAATATAAATATAAATATAAATATAAATATAAATATAAATATAAATATAAATATAAATATAAATATAAATATAAATATAAATATAAATATAAATATAAATAATATAAATATAAAATCCCCCCGCGGCGGGGCTCGGGAGGGATTTTAGGGATCGGGAAAGGACGGACGGACCCCGGGATGGGGATGACGTCACACCCGCCACCCGCGCCCCTGCCCGGTGACGTCACCGGGCCTGCCCCGCGCCTGCGCAGTGCGGGCGCAGCACCCCCGGCGCGGAGCGGAGGATGCGGGGCTGCAGGTGGGTGCGGGGCCGGGGCTGGGGAGGGGCTGGGGGCGTCAGGGGTGCGGGGCTGGGGCTGGGGAGGGGCTGGGGGCGTCAGGGCTACGGGGCTGGGGAGGGGTTGGGGGCTGGGGAGGGGCTGGGGGCGTCAGGGGTGCGGGGCTGGGGCTGCGGAGGGGCTGGGGACCCCGAGGGTGCAGATGGGTGCGGGGCTGGGGGCGTGATGGGTGCGGGGCTGGGGGTGGGTGCGGGGCTGGGGGCTGGGGGCATGAGGGGTGCAGGGCTGGGGACCCCAGGGCTGCAGGTGGATGCGGGGCTGGGGGCTGGGAAGGGGCTGGGGGCATGAGGGGTGCGGGGCTGGGGACCCCGAGGGTGCAGATGAGTGCGGGGCTGGGGGGCTGCGGACCCCGGGGGGCGGTGAGAGCTGCGGGGCTGCTGGGGGAGCCCATGAAGGGTGCGGGGCTGCTGGAGGTGGGTGCGGGGTTTGGGGGGGCCCATGGAGGGTGCGGGGTTTGGGGGAGCGCGGGCCATGCTGCCCTTGCAGGCGGTGCGGGGGGTCGCAGGGGGTGCGGGTGCTGCGGGGGTGTCGGGTTTGGGGGGCAGCGCGGGCTGGTGTTGCGGGGAGCGCCGGGGCGGGGCCGTGCGGGGCCGGGGAGGTGCTCGCCCGCTGCGGGGGCGTGATGGGGGTCGTGGGGACGCGGGGGGCGCCTGCGGGGAGCGGCGAGGGAGGGGCGGCGACGGCGTGTCCGTGTGCGTGTTGGTGTGCGTGTGCGCGCAGGGCTGAGCGGGCGTGCAAGGGATGTGCGCGCCCAGGTGTGTGTGCGGGTGTGCAAGGGATGTGCGTGCCCAGGTGTGTGTGCGTGTGTGCGAGGGATGTGCGTGCCCAGGTGTGTGTGCGGGTGTGCGAGGGATGTGCGTGTGCTGCTCGGTGTGTGCGGGTGTGCAAGGGATGTGCATGTCCAGATGTGTTTGTGCAAGCATTCAAGGGATGTGCGTGTGCGTGCCCAGGTGTGTGTGCGAGTGTGCAAAGGATGTGCCTGTGCTGCTCGGTGTGTGTGCGTGGGCAAGGGATGTTCGTGCCCAGATGTGTATGCGTGCGTGCAAGGGATGTGCGTGTGTGTAAGGAATGTGCGTGTGCAGATGTGTCTGTGTGTGTACAGGGGATGTGCATGTGCATGCCGAGATGTGTGTGCGAGTGTGCAAGGGATGTGCGTGTGCATGCCCAGGTGTGTGTGTGTGCGCAAGGGATGTGCATGTGCTGCTCAGTGTGTGCGTGTGTGCAAGGGATGTGTGTTCCCAGATGTGTGTGCAAGCCTGCAAGGGATGTGCGTGTGCATGCTAGATGTGTGAGCACGTGTGCAAGGGATGTGTGTGTGTGTAAGGAATGTGCGTGTGCAGATGTGTCTGCGTGTGTACAGGGGATGTGCATGTGCATGCCCAGATGTGCGCGCGGGCGTGCAAGGGACGTGCGTGTCCGGCTCAGTGTGCTTGTGCAGATGTGTGTGCAGGGCTGTGTGTCCGTGCAGACACGTGTGCATGCAGGTGTGTGTGTGCATGTGAAGGTGTGTGCATGCAGCTGCAGGGGACACGTGCAGGCACACGGATGTGCAGGTGTGTGCAGGTGTGTGCACGCAGTGTGGTGCCCGTGTTTGTGGGGCCTGGAGCTGGGTGCTGCATGTGTGGGAATGCACAAGTGCACAGCGGTGCACAGTGTGTGCGAAGGGATGCAGGCATGCACAGGGGTGCACTCTGTGTGTGTGTGTGCACGGCATTGCACGTGGGGATGCATGAGTGCATGGGTGTGCACACACGGACACCGTTGGGGGTGCATGCTTGCAAAGGTGTGTGTGCATGCACACGGTGGGGATGCATGCTTGCAGAGGTGTGTGTGCATGCAGACTTGCATGGGACAGGGTGTGCATCCACCAGGGCACGTGGGGGTGACTGTGTGTGCCATGTGTGCACCGCTGCAGCACACATGCACCTGTGTGCAGACACTCTGTGCACACATGCACTGCTCCGTGTGTGTGCTTTGCATCTCTCTGTGCATGGCATGCACGTTCACAGGGAGCACCGGGCCCTGTCCTGTGTGTGTGTGTGTGAGTGCTGCAGGTGTGTGCAGGGCTGGGCTCACCTGCAAATGCACACGTGCAGGGTGTGCATGCTCAGGGCGTGTGCTGCAGGGCTGGGGGCACCCGACAGGGCACACGGCTGTGACCCAACACCCTTTCAGGGCAGGTTTTACCCAGAGCTGTGACATTTGTGCTCCCCTCCCCAGGGAAGCAGGGCCAGGCCTGGGGTGCTGCCACCCCTGCTGGGCTGCTCCTGGCTTACTACTGAGTTACTCCTTGCTTCCTCTGAGGCTGCTGCCGAGATGCTGCTGGGATATTCTCAGTAATTCCTGAGGGAGTAGTGAAATACTATCCAGACACAGCTGAGATGCTGTGAGGTTACTAGAATGTGGACAGGCTACTCTGCAGGCAGCAGTAAGGCACTTCCAGAGTGCCATGAAGGTACTCTCAGGATACTCTGTAAATACTACTGGGATGCTGCAAAAGCCCCGCTAAGGTACCATCAGGCTGCTGCTAAGATACTTCCAGAGCTGATAGTGAGGTACTCGTAGGAAGGTTCCACTGGAGCAGCTCACTCAAGGTTCCTCTCACGATACGTTCAGGTTGCTTTCAGCATTGTCATGGGGCAGTAAGAAAATACCTGGGTAACTCTTTGTGCTACCAAAGTGCCACCAACACACCGAGGATAACAGCTGTGTCCCCTGACACCACCACTAGGATCCTGTCAGGACACTCATTATCTACTACTGTGATACTATCAGGGCACCAGGATGCTCCTGACAGAATCAGGATGTTCCTGCCTGTGCTAGTACAACATCAGGACAGTGCTGAGCTACGCAATGCTGAGCTGCTATTGGGATATTCTCAGTGTAGCACACAGCTACTATCAGGATGTTGCTAAGGTATTATCAGGATAACACTCCAAAGTATCACTTTTCTAATTGCAAATGTATTGCTAATGCTAATGAGTATTACTGACAAGGCACTACTAAGATACTACAGGGTCACTGCTAGGATACAACATTACTGGTACTACTATGATGCTACCAGGATATTATCACAGAGCTCCCGAGGTGCTGCCAGGACAAGAGTCAGTTTCTCAGGATAAAAGTGCAGTTCTCTGTAGGATACTTCCAAGATGCCACAAGGGCACTAGAAAAGTCATGGTAAGATACTTCTGGGATGCCATCAGGGCACCACTCACATTTTTGGGGTATTGTCAGCACATTACTGATATTTTCATTGCTTAGTAGTGATAGAGGGTCAGATTAAGCCCTTTTGTGACTCAGAGATGCGGTAACTGAGAGCTGGCAAAAGCTGAAAGGCCAAGAAACATTTATAATGTATTGTGATTAGGAAATAGTCGGCTTCTGATTGTAACAGCGTGAATTGTAACATCTGTATTGTCTCACCCTTCACATGAGACTGAAAATGGAATAAAAGCTTTTAAAACGCCTCTCAGCTGCCCCATCTCTGGGTCAGGAAAGGGCATCATCCGACAGTATAGCATAAGGATACAACTAAGATACTACAGCTTCAGGGAAATGCATAGTGGTGTGACATTTTTTACATACTGAGCTGCTTGGACCACTATCAGCACTTATGAAATTGCAACTAGAGTAGTGCCACGATAGCAGAATATTTCTTCTGGAGGTAGTATGTCCTGTTGGGTTACTGCCAGGGTACTACAGCGATACCGTTGGTTGTGTAACATCCCTGGCAGCAGTGAAGGGAATTGGGAGCCGGGTGTTGTAAGCTGTGAGTAGCCTGGTGCCTGACAGGCACGTGTCCCTGCAGCTAAGGCAGCACATCGGTGTTGAGGAGGATGGAGGCGCCGCTGGTCAGTCTGGAGGAGGAGTTCGAGGAGGGGCCCGGGGACGATGGGGGGTCGCTGCCGCGCCCCGCGGACCCCGCGCTGGCCGAGCTGGAGAGCTTCTCGGCCGAGATGATGAGCTTCAAGTCCATGGAGGACCTGGTGCAGGAGTTCGACGAGAAGCTCACCGTGTGCTTCCGCAACTACGACGCTGCCACCGAGGGCCTGGCGCCCGTGCGGGGGCGGCTGCAGGCGCAGGAGGAGGAGGAGCGCCTGCAGGATGAGGAGTGAGTAAGGCCCCCCTGCTCCTGGGGCCACTTCACACCCTGAACCCCTCCCAGCGCTGCGGCACGGCCGTGCTCCGTGTAGTATCCTGTGAGTAAGGGTCTGCGTGCTGCCTTGCGTGCTGGCACGGCACAGCCCACATGCAGCTCAGCCCCTTGCATCACAGCACAGCCATGCAGCAGCGTGGAATAGCCGTGTAGTATCCTTTGAGTAGCCATGGAGTATCTTTTGAGTAGCTGTGTAGCCTCCTATGAGTATAGGAGCCTTGAGCCTGCATGCATCCTGTCATGAAACACTCCCAGAGTGTGCAGTCCAGTCACAGCATGACTCTGTAGCACTTCAGAGTACTGGTGTAGTATCTTATGAGTAACACCCCCGCTACGGCCTGTTGCACTTCCTTGTGCTCTTCTATGAGCCCATCACATGCAAATCACCACCTGGACTGTGCTGTGATCGTACAGCACCTTGGAGTAGCTGTGGAGGATCCTTGGAGTAGCTGTGTGAGGTCCATGGAGTAGCTGTGGAGTATCCTTGGAGTAGCAGTGTGAGGTCCCTGGAGTAGGAGCCTGTGAGGAGGAAGAGCAGCGTGTCCCATGCCACGTTGCAGGGGGCCACAGCTCTGTCTGTGCAAGGAAAGCCCCAGGGGTTGAGCATAAACCTTGAGTAAGGTTTGAGTAGAGCTCGGCCACCCCCTCTGTACCATTGTAGGGAATGGCCAAATTCCCTAGGGTGAAATTCCCCCCTAGGCTCCCCAATTATTGTCGTGCCTTTTGTGTTAAATTCTACAGTTCCATTAAAAACCTTGCTTTGTTACAAAAATGCCATTTTCCCCTGCAAATCCTTGGGCTTTTTCCTCACAATGATTACACTCTATCACATTTTCTGTGGATTTTTCCTCTGTTTAATTTGGATTATTCTGAAATTGCTAACCCTTCTTCTCACCAAGCAAAGGGGCTGCTTTCAACCCAAAAAGCCCCAAATCCTTTGGTTTTGTTGGTTTGTGTTTGGATTTTTTTCCCCCAAACCCACCGAAGCTGAATTGATTTTTGCAATCGGTCGAATTCATGGTTTTTGAGAACAAAATGCAGCTTGGCTGCGCGCCGGGGCTGCCGCGCTGTCGCCGCTTTGTGCCACTTATTGTGTCTTTTTTGGGTCACTTTGGGCAAAACAGGGCTTTTTTTTTTAGTCTTCTTTCAATGAGCCCAGTGTGCAGGCCAGGGGAGGAGCCATGGCCTCACAGGCGCTGGATTTCCAGAGTTTTTAACCATTTCTTGCCATAATTAACTCAGAAATCACTGCTGGTTTTGGCCTGCCCCTGTCGGTTGCTGGTCCTTTAAGAGCAGCAAAAAAAAAAAAGCAAATTTGAGGGAATAATTGCTAGTTTGCTGTGCTTTGTTAAAAAATAAGTATTTAAGATTTGGCATCCGCATTTTTGTCTGTTCATTTGTGAAATCTGTAATTCCAAGGGCAATTCAGCCCCGGTGAGAAGGGAAATAGAATAAATCCCACAAATGAGCAGGTTTGGGGTTGGAAAAGGGGAAATGGTTTTGGGGTGATTTTCAGGATTCGGATGTGGCACCGTGCTGGACTGAACCCCTCATTTCTGGTGGGAGAATGGGAGGGGTTGCCTGATATGGGAAGACAATTTCTAATCTCTTTCTGCGCCTTTCCCCCCATTTTTGACATTTTCCTCCCATTTTTGGCCTTTTTCTCAACATTGCCACTTTTCAGCTCTTTTTTCCCCATTTTCTGTCTTTCTCCTCCATTTCTTCCCTTTTCTCCACTTTCCCTGCCCTTTTCTCCATTTTCCCCCTCATTCTCCCTTTTTCCTTACATTTTCTCTTTTTCCCCATTTCACTTTTCTCCTGATTTTTCCTTTTTTCCTCTTTTGTCCCTTTTCCTCCTTTTCCTATTCTCAATTTTCTCCTCTTTCCTCTTCTTCCCTTTTTTCCCTCTTTCTCCATTTCCCACCATTTTTTTCTTCTCCCTCTTTCTCATTTTTTCTTCCATTTCCCCCCTTTTACCCAGATTTTTTTTTCCCCACTTCTTCCCCTTCCCCCCTTTTTTTCATCTTCTTCTTTACCCCGTTTTTTCTCTTTTCTCCTGTTTTCCCCCTTTCCTTTTCTTTTTCCATTCTTCCCCTCTTTTCCTTTTTCCTTCTTTATTTTCTCCTCATTTGATCAGGATTTCAGGACAGCATTTTAGGGTATTTTTAGGTGTTGAAAAGTGACATTTTGGGGTCTCTGGGGTATTTCAGCAAGGGGGTGGGGTGGTTGGAACATGATAGGGTGGCATTTTGGAGCTTTGGGACCTTTAGGGGCATTTTGGGGATATTTCAGAAGAGCATTTGGGGACAGTTTGGAGTGTTCCAGGGCAGCGTTTTGAGGTGTTTTGGGGCCTTTCAGAGAGTCTTGGGGCTGCTTTAAGAGAATGTTTTGTGCCACTTCAGAGCATCATGGTGATGTTTTTGAGTGGCATTTGGGGACATCTAGAGATATTTTGGGACATTGCTGTGACCTTTTGGAGTGTTTTGATAGCAGCATTTCAAAATGACATTTAGGGGGGATGCTGGGGCAGCATTTTTGGGTACATTGGGGTATTTCAGAGCAGTATTTCATAATGCCATTTTGAGAAGCTTTGGGGTCTTCTAGGACAGCATTTGGGGTTTTCTAGGATATCATTTGGGGTGTTTTGGAATATTTCAGGCATCCCAGTAGTATCTGGGGATTTTTGGAGGTCGTTTCAGGATGTGTCTGGGCTGCATTTCGGGATGTTTTGCGGCATCTTGGCAGGCCGTTTTTTGGGATGTGTTCTCTGAGATGCAACATTTTGGGATCAGCACTCACCACCCGCCTCCCTGCAGGGTCTGGGATGCTCTGACCGATGGCTTTGCCCCCCGGAGCTCCCCCCGGCCGTGGCAGCTCCCTGGGACTGAGGCCCTCGATGGCACCGACCCCCAGGTACGGCTGTGACATCCCCACGGGACCCCTGGCTGTGATTGACAGCTGTCAGTCAGCCCCAAGGCTCAGCAGCCATCATGGCACTGCAAACTACCCAAAAATGGTTCTTCTAGCACCTGGTCCTTGCCAGTTTGCCCCCATGCCATGGGTGGGGTGGGTGTTTTTGGGGTTGAAAATGGGTTTTTATCTGTAGTGCGTTTGTGCTGTCAATAGCTGCTTTTGGGGTTGTAAAAATGTCCCAGTATACACAGAACTGAACTCATTTGGATGTGTTGCTTAAGGGGGAAGAGAAAATAACTTCCTTGGTTATTTTCTGCTAAAAAGGTGGAAAAAAGATGGTGAAAGGTGGGAAAAAAGAAGGTGCCTCCTCACCCACATCTCTGTCCATCCATTCACTGGAGGTGTCCCACCCCGTGTCTCCATCAGACCTCTCCAGTTCAGCCCCACCATCCCTCATCTCCCCCTCCAGCATCCCCAAGTCTCTACAGAGCGTGTCCAACACCACTCTGCATCCAGCACCTCCATCCAGCACCTCCATCCAGCACCTCCATCCAGCACCTCCATCCAGCACCTCCATCCAGCTCACCTGCACTTCTCCCTGCCTTCTTCCTGCTCCATGGCTCCATCTCTCCATCCAACTCTCCTGTCCAACATCTCCATCCACCTCTGGCAACACCTCCCCCTCCAGGGCTGTCCACTGTCCTGCTCAAAGCCCCATCCATCATCTCCATGAAATGCCCTCAATCCAACATGTCCCATCTGATGTCCCCCTCCAGTGTCTCCCCATGCCACGCCCCATGTCCCCCTGAGCCAGGGTGGGACTGTCCCCGTGCCAGGGCTGTGGCTGTCCCCGTGCCAGGGCTGTGGCTGTGTCCGTGCTGGGGCCATGCCCGCACCAGGCTGGGCCTGTGGTGCCACCAAGGCTGCCCAGCCTGTGTCTCCTGCAGCTCGGTGGGAAGGAGGAGGAGGAGGAAGAGGAGGAGGAGCTCACTGAGAGGAGTGAGCAGGACTCTGGGATCAACGAGGAGCCGCTGCTGACAGCTGAGCAGGTACCCATGGGCATCTGGAGCCCTGCATGTCCTCCAAAAGCCAGGCTTGGCCACCTCAGCCCCATGACCACGAGCTGAAAGCACAAGAAAAAGCCAAATCCCAGCAATCCCAGCAATCCCAGCATCCTGGGGTGTGGCATGCAGGACCTGGAATGTGGATGTGGACAGAAGTGGAGGTTGTGGGTGCTGATGTGGGATTTGGGTGCACCTGGGAAGGTGGGCTGTGGGGGCTGCTGGACAAAGGGGTGGCATGGGGGGAAGGATAAAAGGGGGGGAGCAGAGGTGGGGTGCAGATGTGGGGTGCAGGATGCTGGATACAAGTGTGGGGAGGGGGTGTGGAGGCTGCAGCAGGGTGTGGATGCAGGATAGAGAATGCAGGTGGAGGTGCAGGATGCAGGAGGAGGGTGCAGAGAGCAGGATGCAGAGAGGTGCAGGATGCAGATGTAGAAGTGGATGCAGGTCCTCGGTGTCCATGGAATGTGGGATGCAGATGCAGGATGCAAATAGAGGACCCAGGGCACAGATGGATGTAAATGCAGGTGCTGATGCAGGATGAAGGGAGCAGAATGCAGATGCAGGATGAAGGGGAGGATGCAGAATGCTGATAAGGATGGAGGATGGAGCTGGCTGCAGATGGAGGATGCAGATGCAGGATGAAGGGAGCAGTTGCAGATGTGTGTGCAGGACAGGAGTGCAGGGAGCAGGTGCAGGACAGTTGCAGATGTGTGTGCAGGACAGGAGTGCAAGGAGCAGGTGCAGGATGGTTGCATGTTTGGGTGCAGGGCGCAGGTGCAGGACAGTTGCAGGTGTGGGTGCAGGACAGGAATGCAGGGAGGAGGTGCAGGATGGTTGCAGGTGTGGGTGCAGGGAGGAGGTGCAGGACAGTTGCATGTTTGGGTGCAGGGAGCAGGTGCAGGACGGTTGCGTGTTTGGGTGCAGGGAGCAGGTGCAGGACAGTTGCAGGTGTGGGTGCAGGATGTGTGGGGTGCAAGGTGCAGGTAGGATGCAGGTGCACATGGAGGTCACTGATGCCCCACAGGTCATCGAGGAGCTGGAGGAGCTCATGCAGAGTTCACCTGACCCTGAGGCTGACCCCGAGGGTGAGGAGGAAGAGGAGGAGGATGAGGAGGAGGAGGAGGAAACCAAGGCTGATGCTGAAGGCAAAGGTGGTGGCGGGGGCACGGAGCCCATCCTGCTGCGGGAGCTGCATCCCGCCTTCAACAACAACTGCTCCCACGAAGGTATGGCCAGCAAAGCCCAGGCCAGTCACTTTTTGGGGACAATTCCAACCAAATTGGACAACTAAATCTCTCCAGGCCTCAGTGCTGGCGTGCTCTGGGACTTGGCCAGAAGGGCTCTTGGCAAAACCTGTGAAGAGCACAGGGATCTGGCTTTTGGTGTGGAAAGGCACGTGGGGTTCACCAGGAGCCTTTGTGCTCTGCATGGGGCGTTCCACGCACACGGGATTTGTCCTGGTGGCGTGGGCTGTGTCACCAGCAAGCCCAGGCACTTCACTCATTGCTCTGCTCTTTATCACACTGTGCAGGTTACTAATCACACCATGTCACTAATTGCACCGTGCATGTCACTAATTGCACCATGCATGTCAATAATCACACCATACATGTCACTAGTTGCACGATGCATGTCAATAATTGCACCATACATGTCACTAATCACATCCTGCCTGTCACTAATTGCACTGTGGAGATCACTGGGTGCACCTTGCATGTCACTAATCGTGCCAGGAAGTCCCTTAATTGCTCTGGGCACATTGTTTGTGGCGCTGAGCATATCAGTAATTGCACAACGGTGTGTCAGAAAATATCAGTAATTGCACACTCTTGGTGTGTCAGAAAATGCAGAGCCCATCTCGCTCAGCGCGAGATGCACTTTAACAGTTGCAGTGTGCGTTTCACTGATGCACTGGGGCTGCACCAGGCATTTCCCTCATTTCCCCATGCATGGCACCGGCTGCAGAGTCCAGAGGAGGCCACGGAGATGCCCCAAAGGTGGTGGCACCTCTGCTGGGGAGGAAAAGGCTCCAGGGAGGGCTCAGAGCTTAAAGGGGATCCAGGAGAGCTGGAGAGGGACTGGGGACAAGGGATGGAGGGACAGGACACAGGGAATGGCTCCCAGTGCCAGAGGGCAGGGCTGGATGGGATATTGGGAATTGGGAACGGTTCCCTGTGAGGGTGATACAAGAATTGCAGAGCAGCTGTGGCTGCCCCATCCCTGGCAGTGCCCAAGGGCAGGCTGGGCAGGGCTGGGAGCACCTGGGCAGGTGGAAGGGCTGTTTGCCGGGCTGGGCGGTGGCTGTGCGGGACACGGGGCTGTCGCTGCGGGCAGGGCTGGGGCAGCCTGTGCTGGTGGAAGGGCTGGCTGCCGGGCAGGAGGTGGCTGTGCGGGACACGAGGCTGTCGCTGCGGGCAGGGCTGGGAGCACCTGGGCTGGTGGAAGGGCTGTTTGCCGGGCTGGGCGGTGGCAGGAGGTGGCTGTGCGGTACAGAGGCTGTCGCTGCGGGCAGGGCTGGGGCAGCCCGGGCTGGAGGAAGGGCTGGCTGCCGGGCAGGAGGTGGCTGTGCGGTACAGAGGCTGTCGCTGCGGGCAGGGCTGGGGCGGCTGTCGGCGCGGGAGCTGCTGGCGGCCGCGGGCCGTGCCGAGGCGGCGAGCCGGGCGCTGTCGGCGGAGCTGGTGGCGCAGCTGGCGCGGCGGGACGAGCTGGCCTTCGAGAAGGAGGTGAAGACGGCCTTCATCGGGGCGCTGCTGGCCGTGCAGGGAGAGCAGCGGGAGCAGCGAGAGGCCGCCCGGCGCCGCCGCAGGGACAAGGGGCTGAGCCTGCACGGGGCGCGCTCCGAGCGCGGCAGCGGCAGCAGCAACAGCAACATGCCCCGCAAGGTGCGCACCGAGCGGGGTGCGGGGTCAGGGGGAGGTGCGGGGTGTGCGGACACGGTGCGGCAAGGGGGTGAGGGTGGGATGGGAATGGGGACAGGGTGGGGCAGAGGGACATGGGGGTGAGGGTTGGGATGGGATATTGGATGGGATGGGATGGGATGGGATGGGATGGGATGGGATGGGATGGGATGGGATGGGATACAGGATGCGATGGGATGGGAATAGGGACAGGGTGGGGCAGAGGGACATGGGGGCGAGGCGATGGGATACGGGATGGGATGGGAACAGCGACAGGATGGGGCAGAGGAACATGGGAGTGATGGGATGGGATACAGGATGGGATGGGATGTGGGTTGCAATAGGATGGGATAGGATGGGAATAGCGACAGGATGGGGCAGAGGGACGTGGGGGCGAGGCGATGGGATGGGATATTGGATGGGATGGAATGGGAATAGTGACAGGATGGGGCAGAGGGACATGGGGCTGATGGTTTGGGATACAGGATGGGATGGGGTACGGGTTGCAATAGGATGGGAATAGTGACAGGATGGGGCAGAGGGACATCGGGGTGATGGGATGGGATACAGGATGCGACAGGATGGGATGGGAATAGCAACAGGATGGGGCAGAGTGGCATAGGAAGGACACAGGACAGCGACAGGGGGACTTGGAGCACAGAGACAAAGGAATATGGGATGGCAGTATGCAGCAGGGTGCTGGGATCTGGGCGGGGTGTGGATCTGGGAGTCGGGGAGTTGTGAGGGATGCTGGTGCCCAGAGGAGGTGCCTGAGGAGGGTGATGTCCCTGTCCCCGGGAGGTGACAGGGTGACACACGTTGTCTCCCCAGCGCTTCAGCATGGAGGGCATCTCCAGCATCCTGCACTCCGGCCTGCGCCAGACCTTTGGTCCTACCACCAATGAGAAGCAGGTGCCTTTCCCCCCCTCAAAAAAAAAAAAATTGCCCAAATCTGTTTTCACTCCTCCTCCCTGCACTCCCCATTCCCCTGCATCCCCCAAACCCCTGTTAAAATCTTTCTTCATTTTACAAAACTGCTCTATCCCCTACACCCTGCTAATCCCACTTGATAAAAATTGCCTGTTTTCACCCCAAAAAGTCCTCCCTGAGGAGGGATGGATTTGGGTGGAGTTTGCAGCACCCAGTTAGTTCAGTACTCCCCAGAATACCTGCAAATTAAAAACAATTGCAGGAATTTTGCAGAAATGCTCTATTTTTACATAAATTTGTCTTAAGGCAATGCAAAAACCAGGCAGCTTTGTGCCATCTGGGTGGTTTTTTTGGGGTGGCTTTTGTTTTTGCAGTACCTGAACACGGTGATTCCCTACGAGAAGAAGGGCTCACCACCCTCTGTTGAGGACCTGCAGATGCTCACCAACAGTGAGTATTCATTCAAGCTGCTGTTTTGGGTCAGCATCACATGTTTTGGGGACACAAAGGCACATTTTGTTTTGCTTCAGTGGCTGCAGTTTGGGATATCATTGCAACATGAAAGTTGAGGGGAATTTTTGCGTCATTGCAGCACGGGCAGTTTAAGATGCTGCCACCCATGCTGCATCATCATTGCAGCAAACCCACCTGGTGGGGAAAATCCCTGTTTTGCATCACTGCAGCACAGCTGGTTGGCAGCCAACACCTCCCCCCAGTTTATGCTCCATTTACCAGGAGGTTTGGGGTAAATCACCCATTCTGCACTGCCACAGATTGGCTAACTGGGGATGGAAGTCCTTTTTGTGTGGGTGTTCCCAGGCCTGCTGCATAAATTGTGTGGCAACTGTGGGGCTGGTTTTGGGGGGAAAAGGGACATTCTGGGGGCAGCAGGGCCAGGCTCACAGCTTTGTTCTCCCTCACAGTCCTGTTTGCCATGAAGGAGGGG